ACAGTTCATTACAGCTTGTAAAGTTATTTGATAAATTGAAAATTTATTGAAATTAAATTGTAGCTTGTAAAGCTATTTGATAAACTGAAATTTTTATTGAAATTGAAGGATTTACTTAATAGATTAAAAATTATTTGAATTGAAGGAATTTAATTATTATACTGAGAATTATTCGAATTGAAGGAATTTAATTACTTCTACTGGTTCAATAAATTATTGTTAATTATGTGAATCATCGTTGATATAAATATTTCTATTTTCATGATTATTTAATATTATTGACCCATAGTGAGTGTCATAGTCGGCCATCTCGTCTCTACCTCTTCGAGATTAGGCTTGATACTTACTGGGTACATGTTATTTTCGTACTCATACTACACTTGCTGCACATTTTATTGTGCAGGTACATATATGTTTAGCGGCCTTGTGGGTGCAGAGGTGTTATAAAAATTGTGGGGACATAGGTGAGCTGCATTCTATATTACGATCCGCAGCTAACAGAATCTCCTTCTGAGTTATTATATTTTCCTGTCTAATTTGTATTCTGGACAGATGCTGTATTTTATTTTAATTCCCTAGTAAATGCTCATGCACTTGTGACACCGGGTTTTGGGAATGGTTGTGAATTGTTAGAAATTTAGCTGCAAAAATATTTATCATTTACTCTATAAGTCTTTATCTCTACAATTTTATTAAAGAAATTTTTATTTTAAAAATACTAAAATGGGTAATTAAAATTGATTATGGTTGGCTTGCCTGACAGTGGTGTCCGACGCCATCACGACCTTTTGGATTTTGGGTCGTGACAGATCCAGTATTCAGTGTCTAGTTGCTTCGTTTCAGAAACGAAGAAGAGCATCCAATAAAATATGGTTTGGTTCTTCCTAAACACTTGGTTATCAATCCCAATGGTAATAGTAGTGCATTTAATAAGAGAAATATCTCTATCATTAGATTTTGAGCAAATCGCATGATAGAATTAAAAAATATATCTTAGCTAGAAGAAATGAATATGTTGATCAACTAAATAAAAGGTTGATTGCAAAATTTTATAGTAAAAACAAAATATTTTTCAGTTTTTGACTTAGCAGAAAATGATACCAATAATTACTACAAAGAAGAATATTTAAATACTTTAATACTAAATGGTCTTCTACCATACATGTTTGTTGTCAAGTTTCTTATTTCTTACGTATGTTATTGTCGCTGTATATATAATTAGACTAAGTTAAAATTGATCTTCCATTGTATATAGGTTAATCTTGAAGAAAAAATATGCTCGTCCTGCTACTAAAAAACTTAGATACGTTGAAAGCTTATGTAATAGCACACATATAATATATAGAAGTTTTGACAATAACGTCATAATGCAAAAATTATAATACTGGTTAATATGCTTCTAAGCATATTCTTATTCCTGAATTCAACTTTTATTTTCCGAAACTAAGGAATATCCTTTTAAATTTGTGTGAAAATAATTTTTAGTATGTTTATGTTTTGCACTAATAAATAAAGCATAAGGACAAACATCCTAAATATTGGAATATATTTACCGTAATATATTTTCTTGTATGAACAACTGTATGTTGCACTTTCAAGAGGGATATCAAGATCGACAACAAGAATTCTGGTTAAGGCAGAGCAACCAATACATTAGGAGGAAACATACACAAAAAAATATTGTCCACAAAGAAGTATTCGTTAAGATACCATCACATTAAATACTTTTAAACTATAATATATAATTATCTAACTAACTTGACAAAATTGATCGTTTGTGTAAGTTTTGATGATGTCCTTTTATTTTAAATTCATGTATTATACTAATGTAATAATATTTTTCGACATTTAGATGATTGTTGTTTTATTATACATAAAAAAAAAATTTATTAATTAAATTTTATTGTTCCTTTATATAAATAAATGTTTAAAGCATTACGTGTCATTATTAATGTGCAACACACGTTTATAGATACTAGTACGAAAGAAAAAGAGACACAAGGATAAAAGTAACAACATTTTAGCATCAAAGTATAGATACCACTACTTATAAACCAACAAAAAAAAACCACTTGTTAGATCAATGATCTAATTGCAACTTTACAACAAGCCAATATCGAAACACAAATTTTATACTCATCAAAGACTAATTAATCAACAAAAGACAGAATTCTCTTAACAAAATCTTTACTCAGGACAATCTCTTTAATAAATTTGAAGCCCTTCTCTAATCTCTAATCTCTTGAAGTAGCTCATTACATGTAGCTTTTAATCTCTTTACTTCATTAGCTAAATCATTGTGCTTTTCTTCAAGTTCCTCTAATCCTTTTTCAATTGGCAATGGTTGAGGTAATTCAATATTTGACATTAAAAATACCTCAGGCTGAGACAAATATTTCGTGTAAACTGGTTCGAACATCTCTTCAAATTTACCAAGTAATACTTGTGCCATAGTATAAATATCACTACCCTTTGGATTATAAATTATGGCATTGTTGAATGTTAGTCTCAAATCATCTGCAAATTCTTGTGGTGTTTTGTACTCATCCCTCTTCAGCTTTAATTTCACAGTTCCAAGATCCATAGGGTGTTGAATTATATCGTAATAATCATCGAGTTTAAAAGCCTTAACATCAATTGGTTTGCTAAATACCCATCCAAATTGATGCTTCAATAATTTCCTCATAATTTTTTGGCACTTGATTTTCATAATTGTACTTGATTTAACTTTAATCCCTTCAATAATATCATCATTTGAAGCTAACGTTAACGCGCGTTTTTTACCAGAGAGATTCTTGTTCTTGTTCTTGTTCTTGCTATTTTCACCAATTAATTCAGGAGTCTGATAATAATTTCCACTGAGATTTGATTCTGCCAATTTATCGTCCTCTGTTTCCTTTTCAATGTTTATGTAAGTGAATTTGTTTTCACTTAAATCATTGAAATTTGAAGCTTGTTTGCTCTGATCACTGCATTCTTCACTCTTATCTTTTTTCTGCACATATAATCAAAGATCAAACACTTGTTAGAAATTAGTATTACCAATGCAAGAAAAAGGTGGAAAGAAAAGAATATAATTTCATTGAAATACATGAATTTTTAATTCCTAAATTAATTGAACTTGTCAATATTAGTTGCTGACAGATAAATATCAAAGTACGTGGTCAGTAATGGAGCCAAGATTTTTAACAAAAGGATTCAAAATAATGTTAGGATGCAACAAGTACAATTTTAAACATACAACTTAAAGCATTTTTTGAACCACCCATTCAAATTAATTAGATATAAAGCATTTTTTGAAGCACCCTTATCATTACTAATAGTTTTTGTGTTGAGGGATCATACAAAAAATTAGATATTTTTTTTGTAATTTCGTGGCAATTGCAAATACTAAGCGTATTATTATGTGCACGAACAAATCAATGAGCTTTTGTTTCCGTTCAATTCTTATTCTCAGATTCGAGTCATGAATATAAAGTCATCTTTGTTAAGAAACGCTTTGCCCCTCAATGTGAAATTTCCTGTCACGATTTAGTGGAACCCAATGTGAATACCGGACATCGAAAAAAAATTAAAAAATAAAATAAAAATATAAATACAATTTAAAAGAAAAAGACGATGTATTAATGTAAAATCATTTAGGCCTACCGAAAACCACAGAATCCGTTGTACTTCTTCACTCAAAACCTGCATCAATCCCATTATTCTCTTACTCTGAAAATTTCTAAAAAAGAGGAAGAAAGAATAAAGCGATTATAGCAAACACAAAATATAACAAATATATATATATATAGAAGTTATATTTAGAAGCCTAGTTGAAGTAGGATACGTGATTGAGCTCTCAAAATTATAATCCTAAGTGGAATAGGGAACAAAATATTCCGTCCCCTTTTTTCTCCTTTTTAATTTTTTTTGGTTTTATAAAAAGAGTTCATTATCCTAAATACCTACGATATAGCTACAGACAGTGGCGGAGCCACATGCACCAAAGGGGTAATTTTCCGGCGACACTTCTTTGTCTGGAAATTACACTGTATAGCTCGATAATTTTTTTTAAAATATGTATATATATTATATAATGACACCCCTTGACTTCTTGGTGAGTTTATTTCTTTATATTTTGACTCCCCTTAATAAAAATTCTGGCTCTGCCACTGGCTACAGATACACACTATTCAATGTCAAAATCAAACAACTGAATCAGTTGTAGAATAGAAATTTACGCAGATATTACAATTAATTTTATACTCTAGAATCAATCACGAAACAACCTACATAACGAAAATCATAGAAAAAAAGGGTGTACCCATAATTAAGGGGATCAAGATAATAAAAAGTTAAATTGAAATAAAAAATGTAATAAATGTTTATAAATTAAATATTACTAAATTTAATGAAAAATAAAAATAATATAAGTTTAAATAATACATAAATAGTATTACTACTGAATGATCTAATTATGAAGTAATTAATGCCAATTTCTTATTTAAGAATTCGAAAATACATCTTAACTTTCTCTTTTCTATATTCCTCTATAACAAAGGATTTTATCTTTTGGGGAGGAGAAAAAAAAAATATCTCAAACACGTCTGAAGGAAATTTAGCTAAAAAAGAAAGTTTAAAAGGTATAAGTAAAGGGGATATCCTAGTCAAATAAAAAAAAGTGACTTTAAACATTTTTCTTTTTTTTTTCTTTTTCCTTTATCAGAGAGAAAATTTTAAAAAATTAATAATATTCAGTTTGGAATATGTCCCAAGAACAACCGATTAACATGTTTGTTAGTAGTGAATTAGTCAATAGCTATCTTCTCCTATTATTTAGGAAGTAGTTGCAAAGTTGCCCATAAATATATGTTACTATTCACATAATTACCACTTCAAGCTACTACTACTCTACTGATAAAGTAATTAGATTAATCCATATATTCTTGATTTTATTTTTACATAGAATAGTAATATACACTAATAGAGAACTATAATAGTTTCTGAATATGAGGAAACAAAGCCACCACTACTCAGTTCTTGTCATGTTTGGATCACTTCTCTATTTGCCTCTATTGCTGAATGCAACTTCCATAAGTCCTCAGGAAGCAGGTAATTACATACGTGTCTTACTCTCATGGGAGGATCTAAGACGGATTTTGTGGGTTCAATTGAACCGTTGCTTTTGGTTCAGATAAAAATAAATAAATTAAATGCATACATATAAGAAGATATCACTACAGATGCAGCAATAGCAACAACAAACCTAGCGTAATCTCATAAGTAGGGTTTGGGAAGGATAGTGTGTATACACCGCCTTACGTAGAGACGCTGTTTCCGATAGATTTTAATTCTGTGGTTTAGGACTCAAATTCCGACTACATAACCTATTTGAGTTCTGAGTTCATAGTTCAATATTTTCAGCAATTTCAATCGACTTTACAAAGATAAATCTCAGTCTATGCTAAAAGTTATGAGTCAAATAAACCTATATTAATAGGCTAGATTCACTTACTTTAGATCCTGAATTCGGCTCCTGTGTTTCTTCTATCCATCACTTGATTTGATCTTGACATCATTTTGACCTTTTTGATTTTGTGATGTAGAGAATCATGAGGTGGAGTTTCATTATTGGGAAGGGCATGAGAAAGGTCCAAGTAAATGGGGAGAGCTAAAGAGAGAATGGGAAGCTTGCAAGAATGGGAAGATGCAGTCTCCTATTGATATTTCAAGTTATAAAGTGAAAATCATCAAAAATATGGATAACAAGAAAGTTTACAAGCCCTCTAATTCTACTATAAAGAATAGAGGCCATGACATTTCAGTAAGTGTTAAAAATATATTGTTTTGCTAATAAGTATTTAGAATTGTTAGAATCCAGTGGCTTTAACAATTTTTTTTATTGTTATTTTTTTCTTCTTTTACATGTGATATCATGAAAAAGCTTCAATGTTACCATCTTTGAATAAATGATTCTGTGTCAGTAAATAAAACTTAAACTCTTAGCGAAAAGATTTGCGAGGATTGTCGCTGTAAGACAAATTGTATGCCTGTGCACGGTGGCATACGCAAGAATTGTTATAAGTGATGTCAACATTTAAAGAAGAGAACAAATAAATCACTATACAATAAGCATTGTCATTTTAATATTTATACCAAATATTTTAATTTTTCATACATATTGATGATTTGTTTTGATGAAGTGGTGTTACGTGACACCGCTTGACAAAAGGTGCCTACGCCCTTGCCTGTGCATATAGGTAAGGGGGCGGAGCTATAAATTGGCAAAAGGAAGCTCATTTGAACTCCCTTGTCGAGAAATTACGGTATATATATGAAGTGACATTTTTTTAATATACATATAGTAAGTTGAACCTCTTGGTAAAATATCTGCATCCGACACTATATATAGGTAGATAAAAAGTTCAAATTAATTTTCATATTGTATTTTCCTCCCCTTAATTTCATCTCCCTCCCTCTGTCCCCCATCTAGTGTTATGAAGATTTTTTTTTATCAAATTCAATTTTCACTGACAAATAATCTTACATAATTAAATCATGTAATATGCAGTTGAAGTGGCAAGGGGACGCTGGATCCATTTGGATAAATGGCACAGAGTATCCTCTTCAACAAGTTCACTGGCATTCTCCTTCTGAACATACTATCAATGGCAGAAGGTACCAATTAATATGTTAATTACACACACACACATACTAAATTACTTCTTGTTATTTGTACTGTCAATTGTTTCAAATGTTATCACAGGTTAAATTATACAAATGTGCATCTTTAACGAGTTACTGGCTAGGGCTGATAAGTAAATTTAGTGTTGTCACTTAGTAGGGAATTCTTACACAAATAACCGGTGAGATTCACTATTTAATTTTTCTAGCCAACATACATAGATTATACATTGATTATAGTATAAAGGCCAGTCTGGTGCACTAAGCTCCTGCTATGTGCGGAGTCCGGAAAAGGGCTGGACCACTAGGGCCTATTGTATGCAGCCTTACCATGTATTTCTGCAAGAGGCTGTTTTACACGACTTGAACTCAGTGACCTCCTGGTCACATTGTAACAACTTTACCAGTTATGTCAAGACTCCCCTTTAATTTGTTACAATATATTTATTACATATTATATATGAATTATACATCTATAATATATCCGCCAATTATTTTTAGTTTAAGCGGCTGTGTAAGAGGCTATTTAGGTTAATTCTTTAATTAGAGGTTAGTAATAGGTAATTATCATTTAATTTTTATTTGACCCTTTTGTCAACTTCTTACTGCTATCAATTGAATGATAGGTACCCCTTGGAAATGCATATGGTTCACCAAACCAATGGGGAGAAAGTGAAAAATAAGATAGTAGTCAATGCTGTCCTTTACAAATTTGGCAAACCAGATCCATTTCTTTTCGGAGTAAGCATTCTTTTGCAATTCACTCCATTTTAGGGCGGAACTAGGTGGGCGGAAGAGACCGAACCCCTTCTTCCGAAAATTACACCGTGTAAATAGAATTGATTTTTTTTTTCATGTATATTAGATATTGAATTCCCTTAGCTTCTGTCTGTTTATTTTTTTTGAATCTCTTTAGTGAAATTCCTACTTGCGCCACTGACTTCATTTACTTTCAACAAAAAATGACATAGTTTGCAATTTATGACCATAGTTGAGGAGGCACATATCATCTATGATTGATCAAGAAGGTGAAGAGAGGAAGTTGGGCAAGATTGATCCAAATTACATAATTAGTAGTCCAACCAAAAAATACTATAGGTACATGGGTTCACTCACTACCCCTCCTTGCACAGAAGGTGTCACTTGGATAGTCAACAAGAAGGTAAAATTCATAGGACATATTATTATTATTATTATTATTATTATTATTATTATTATTATTAGAGCTAAACCTTATTCATTTTAGGTACAAACTGTTTCAAGAGGTCAAGTGATGTTGCTCCGAAAAGCTGTCCATGATGTAAGTTTCCCTCTACTCATGGACATTTTAACTTTTTATTTTCTGATCCTCACAATAATAGGAAAGTTAAACATTTCTATATATATAAGGTTTTAAATTAGATTTTTCGAATGTTTGAAGTAAATGGAAAATGTTCCTTTCAAGATTTGTGATGATGAGATAAATATGATCTCTATGGTTAAAGGTTTCTGATTCAAGTCCTGATAATAAAAAAAATAATAATAAGAAGAGCTTTCCCTTTTAATTAAGAAGCGCGAACACCGAACACCCCAAAATGAACACCGAACGCCGGCTGAAAATAAAATAAAATAAGAATAGAAAAGGTTAGCTTTATATTGTCTGTTTTATCTAAATCTATATTTCTTTACGTCTTGATTTACTTAATTGTTGGAAAAAATCTGACCACCAAGTAAGTTGAATAAGAGAAAATTCATGTAAAATAAAAAGACAAGACAGAAAAATGATTGGTCGAATATTCTTGATGGAGAAATAAGAAGGTGTTATTATTTTTAAGTATATCTTTAGTGAATTGAGCTGATTATATTACTAACAAGAAGAAAATTTTTGTTGTATTGATTGTTGTTTTCAGTCTGCTGAGAGAAATGCAAGGCCAGTGCAACCACATAACGAGAGAGAGATCCATCTTTTACTCCCAAAGAGCTAAATTCTGTCATATTTAAATCGTGTGACAAAAGTCTACTATTACTAGTACTCTTTTAGAACTATTTTTTATTTATTTATAGAAATGAAGAAAGGATGTAGAAAACAAAATTTTATTTGACGTCGGTACTGAAATTTCATCAGACTTGAAGGAAGAATATTTTGATACTAAAGATCACAATCCAAGCTTCTGCGCTAGCATTTTAACTTGATTTATAGACATACGCAAGACCGGGAGGGTTTGTGTCCTCTTAAAAAGGAATACCCAACTAATACGCAATACAATCTGGAACGCATTGACCCAACTAATTAGGATTCGTGCCCCCATAGGATTCATAAGGAGGAAGCGCTCCTTCTACTAAGGATTTCACTATTCTCAGGTTTGAACCCGAGACTTTCTTGTTGAGGATGAACGGATCCTAACATCTTTCTTGTTAGGAGTGGAGAAACTTCTGGTAGTGAATGCTTCCAATGCTTTCCACTGTAGTGGGCCCTACTTAGCACGAATCCTTGGACCATTGAATTTCGAATACCAGATTTGAAGATAAATATGGCAAAAACACTACAGTGTTGTCTTAAGCTGCACCATCATTTGGAAAATCATAGCAAGAGGTGCAGTCATCAAAGTACATCGACCTTTACTGCTTAAGCTTTAAACAACTCCAGCACCAGCTAATCTAAGTTCATAAAAAATACTTTCTTTTTGTATTTCCCCTCAGACAATGGAAAAAAAAGAGATAATATTTGATGCGAAATATCACGGCTGACATTTGAAAGAATAAATGAAGAATGTGACAAGAGGGGTTTGCTCAGATGGTCAGCACCCCCACCTACAACCTTAAGATCGTTGGTTCGAGTCACTAAAGGAGCAATAGCTCAAACAAAGGGGGATCAACAGGAAATCAAAGGGGAGGGAAAAAAAGTGAAGAATGTCCCACTGCTCCTGGGCGTTCATTCCGCGCTTGCCATGAGAATTTTGAAGCAGAATTCTTCTCTCAAGTCTCAAATAAGAACCTCATCTGACCATTTCAGTAATATTAGAGCATGAAGTGGTGCCTCCTCTTGTCTGCCTTGTATTATAGGATTTGCAACTAGGACATTTATGTGCCACTATATGGAAGTTAACCTCAGATGTTTCTGCACAATCATTGCAAAGAATCCAAACCTAAACAATTTTCAATGAAAATTAAATGTAAGATAAGTAAATCAAATTCTTGTACAAACTACAATGAATCGAACAAACTGGTTTCTTACCATCTTGTACTGATACATTTCAGGCATAGGTGTCGAGGCAACCTAGAATTAGAATTGAGGATAAAACTCGTCAAGTTTAGAAAAAGATTTGAAAACAATGTCAATGCTTGAAATATATAGTCTTCACCTCCTCGTCCAGTTTTCCCCAGACACGGGACATGTCACAATATGATTTTGAACAAACAGTACAAGAATACCTGCATGCACAAAATTGTTAGAATTCAGCAGAACGCAGTCAAAATCGAGGGGGTGTTGTATTACGGGATCATTGTGGAATTCATTTTTCATAGAAAACAATAACTAGTCAAACTTACTGGAAATGTCGTTCCATCTGCATGACACATTCCAGATGCATGGTGTGACCACAAGGCAAGACTGTGATATTCTTTGTTGTATCAAAAATATACTGCATGAAGTAACAAGAATCAAGACCGTTTCATGCTTAGCTTCTTAAATCGTTATGTTTCGGATTCTGCCCTTACCTCTAAGCAAACAGGGCAATTGTGGTGCATTGCTCTTTCTATACAAATATGTGATTCCTTCATCAAATTTGAATAGCAGCATCCTGAAAAAAGGAAGGGAAAAGTCAGATGTTCCATGAATAATCCACTAATTACAACATAATAAGAGCTTTGGTTCCTAAATTACTCACCGCATCTGTCACAGTGAAAGAAATTCTCCTTGCCACCTGTTCTGCTTTCACATATTTTGAGCAGGAACATGAAAAGATAATATATTAGACACAACGTTATCACACTTGAAAGATACAACCATACGTGACTACCAACTGATGTAAGTCGATTGATATGGAGTTCGGTGAAGAAAATTGATAGTGCAGACAGAGAAGAAACACTCTATTCATCAGAAACATAGTTTGACCACTTTGATGGGCTGGGATTAACAGTTTGACAAGGTCGCAGAGTAGAAAAACCACTCCCACGTTGTAGTTAAGTCTTTTTACCTGTGTGTGTAGTGCAGGTATCAAAAGAAAATAGATATGAGAATACTAATAATTAACACTAGCAAATGCTGATTAATGGGATGACAACAAATCTAACTTGTAGACGGAAAAAACCTACTTCCCAAGGGAGGTTGCTCCTCAGCCATTCTGCGACCACACACCAGGCCTATGTCTCAGATGTTACGGACATTGAGTTTTTACAAAATGGGGTAATTTAGGAAAATGCATTAAAGAACTGATGATGATGTACAGTACGAGAAGGATTTTAACCTGCAGATTCCACACTTATCACAGTGGTATTGATTCTTCGAAACCTAAAGATACAAATCATCTTGTTTGAGCCAACAACATAATATTATTAGTAGAATTATGAATTATCTACAGAGACTTACATCATCATCAAAGAAGTTGCATTTTGAGCAAAAGTACTTCCCCATGCAAATCCCACATTGAATGCATGTTTGTTGAACCTAAAGGACAATCAGGAACAAAAAGCAAGTTTTGCCACAGCTCAAAAGATATAGTAAAGATTAAAGACTTAAATTGAGTCATTAACAATTGAGGAAACTCACATCCTGTTCAGTATTACACAATGAGCAAACGATCTGAAATACATTTACAAAGCAGCATAATAAAATCAGTCAACAATAAAAGGTCTGACAAACAAGATCACTCACACGATATATAATCAAAGGAGCTAGACGCATCCAAAAGAAGCAAATTTCCAAACAAAGAAGACTAAACTCATGTCACATGTGGCCCAATAGAGCTCCATATAAGTAAAAATGCCTACCTCTTCAAGCTAGAATTGAGTCGACTAGAAATTACCCATGACAATAACAACAACTATGCCACAATCCCAAGCAAGTCAGTGTCGGCTATATGAATCCTCGCTGTTCATGTCACTTCATTTACGCTCATCTTAGTCCAATATTATATAGAATTAAATACTTTCTAAATCACCTACCCTTGTATTCATCTCCTTTTTTTAATGAAAGAGGGGGTACCTATTTCAAGAATCCAAGCACAACTACAGAATCTTTATACAACAAAAGAACAAAAAAATTGAAACTAACCCTTTTTATATCATGGCGAGGAATATCGTGTCGTTTGAGTGGATCAACTTCTAAAGAATTCTGATCAAGGATTATTAAAGCTACCATTAATTCTCACATAACAAAAGATAAAATCAAAATATTTAACTGAATTGGAAAAAAGTTTCTACCTTTGAGTCGTTATGGCAATGCCTGCAATCGAATATCTCATCACAACAGGGTGCTCTAATTTTGCATCTCCTCCTGTAATGTGAACAACTACAGAGAACAAAAAAGAAAGATTAACAAAAAAACCATGAAAATAAACTTTGAAATTTTTCATAGAATTAACAAAGTAAAAAAAAAAACTGAGAAAATTACCCATAATTCCCAGAATCCATCTCCATCCCTTTAATCAATTCTACTGAATGAAGAAACTTCCTCCAATTGGTACTCAAAATCCCTGAAAAAATCTTAATTATGAGCAAAAATATACAAATTCTTACAGATTGAAAGTGAACTTAAAAACCAGATAAATTCAAACAAAAAAAATTGGAACTACAAAATTCAGATATGCATAAAAAAAAAGATTGAAACTGAACAACATATCAGACCTAAAAAAAAAAAAGGAACCTATAAATATGACAAAAAAGTGCAAATTCATGCCTTTACTAACGAAAAAAAGAAGTACATAAATCCAGGCATTGAAAAAGACTGAAACTGAACTAAGAATCAGACCTTTAAGTAATGGCAAAAGATAAACTGAATTCAGACATTAAAAAAAGAATATTTAAAACTGAACTAGTAAAAATCATACCTTTAACTGAAAAGGGATTTAAAAACTTTATTGGATTATAGTAATGTTATGTTGAACTGGTTTTTTTGTGGATAAGAAGAAGAAACTAAAAAGCTGCAACCAAAGTCCAATAATGCAAAAAAACTTTTGTGCACTTAAAAATAAAATACCAATCTCCACCTATAAGTAGAGATCATAGATTTCACCGTTCTATGTATTTTGTTCTTGATCAGTTTTCATTGATGACGAGGCGACACGCCAGCGTTATGCCGGCTGTATTTATTGAATGCAATGAACTTTCTCCTTTTAGCTTTTCCCTTATTCACTCTACTGTAATAAAAAACCAACGTTTTCTATAGTATGTTCTTAAAAAAAGAAGAAATCTTTTTTTTAACAAGAAGAGAAATACATTTGCAATAGGGATGCGCTAGCTTAGTTTAATTTAGCGGGTGTATTGGTGAATTTTCTATATTTTATTTGGGTGTTAATTATTTTATTTGACCCAAAATATAAAAAGTATATTTGGACTACCACGTCATATTTTTTCATAGAAAAATGAGTTTAAACCATAGATTCAAAGGACTCTAGAGTTCATCCATTTTACATCGGGATCTGTTATTGGAGAGAGCAAATACAAGATTATTTACTAACAACGGATAACAAAGTTGAATAATTACAAGATTATTTACTAACAACAGATAACAAAATTAAATAGTTTTCGATGGTCCAAAGCAACTTTGGACCTTTTCCCATGATACGAATAGCTTCCGGCAGCGGTACCTTACGCTTTTTAGGTGATACGAGGTTGTTAAGTTAGTTGGTGTTAAGGGTGAAAATAAGTTTGGAAGATGTTCAGTTTAGCCCACATATATTTTAGTTATAGTTATCAGAGGTCCAAGTCAGGTGGTTAGGAAATGACAGAGTATACTCGAGTGCCAGCTAGAGAATCTTTTCTCTTTCATTATATATATTATAATTTCTGCTCTTATCTGAGAATCAATCAAAGAACATTCTCTTTTAGTTTGCCCTAATTTTTCTCTTGCCATTCTACTGTTTTATTGCCTTTTCTTTAACAGTTTTTTCTTTCTTCTTTTACTGTTTCATTGCCAATTCGTATAAGTGGTATCAGAGCACTTTCTTGGCTCTGTGGATCTATGGCGAGTGAAATGAGTGAAGTTATAGATGCTCTACATAAGATCTCCATGGATATGTCATGCTTCACTGCCGAACAGGAACAATTAGAAGTTGTTCAAGAGCAGAATAGCAGGCATCAGGAAGAATCCATAAGTGAGCTCAGAGAAGTTCTTAATGAGGTCATCCATGAAGGTAAACAACGTGAAAGGGACAAAGTGGCACATAAAGAGGGTGATCTCTACTCTCCTAGTGATAAACCTTTTTGATTTCGGAGATGTGGCAACACCTAGTACTAGTATTGTTAATAGTACCCCCCATGAATATTATTACCTCCCCTGTTAATGCCCTCATTCAGAACTCTAGACCAGCTGCAACTAGCACTTAAGCTAGTATTGCTCTTTCCCCTACACCACCTGTGGTACAAACCATGTACACGACTGCAGCTCAGACCCAACCACAGCCCCACTACATTCGTTCTGTTATGCTGAACCCACCACCCATACAACCACCCCAGTCTCAACCTTATGTGATCCCAAATCTCCCCTCTCCTTATCCTAAAACCACCACATTTCAACCTCAAAATTTTCCCACACAATCTCTTCATGGAAGGTATTAACAACCCACAATCACTTGGAACGAAGGGTCACCAGTTGGATTGATGCTTACATACATTCTTTACAACCAAACCACACAGTTTCCTCCACCTTACTATACTCAGACTATACACATACCCCCTCATCTATATCACCAGGTTCCTTACATGCCTACACCTCACCAATACCAATACAACACCAATGTTACCAATTACCCATATACAAAATAGCCACAATGTACCTTTGCCTAACATACCTTATACCAAATACACTAAGATTGAGTTTTCTAAGTTCAATGGGGATGATTTAAGGACTTGGCTGTATAAAGTAGAGTAATTTTTTGCGGATGAATACATTACCATTCAGCAAAAAATGAAGCTAGTTTCTCTGCATTTTGAAAGAGATGCTTTACAGTGGCATTTGGGGTACGTGAGGAGTAGAGGAAAGATGTTATTACCTACTTGGGATGAGTATTTGTGGGCTCTTTGTGACAGTTTTGGGGCTGAGTACTCTGATTCCATGATTGAGCTCATGAACATTAAGCATACAGGGTCAGTGAAAGATTATCAGAAAGCATTTGTGAGTGTAATGACAAGGGTCAACCTCTCTATTGAGCATGATATCAGTATCTTTTTGAATAACCTAAAACCTGAACTCAGTAATGCTGTTTGAGTGGGAAGTCCCAGCAGCTTACCCCAGGCATATTATTTATCCAGGTTGCAAGAGGCTAACTTTGTTGTACAAATCAAAGCAATCAAGAGCACCTCTGCAGCTCATACTATGTACAAGCCTCCTGCAGGACAAGGAACTAGTGGCTTCACTAAGGGAAATATGCATGGTTACAAGAAACCCCTAACTGCTAACTTTGATAGCAACAGAAGAAGGAGGCTCTCCCCAGCTGAGATGGATGAGAAAAGAGCAAATGAGATATGTATTTTTCTGTGATAAAAAATTTACTCCAGGCAGAAATGCAATGCTAAAAGACACTTGTACTCCTTGGAAATTGAGGAGGAAGAATTAGCTACTACAGAAGAACAAGGTTTTGAGGAATTCACTGAAGACCAAGAGCTGGAAGTAGAAGCTATTGAGAATTGTGAAATCTCTTTATAAGCTATGAATGGCTCTAGGGGATACAAGACTTTAAGGATTCAAAGGTTCACTACACAAAAACCAATCAATGTCTTGATTAACTGTGGTTCTACTCATAATTTTATTAATGAACAAGCAGCAAAAAGGCTTGGGTGCAAGGTTTACCAGATGATTCCTCAAAATGTCTCAGAAGCTGATGGAAGAGTTATAAAATCAGTAAAGAGAAGTAAGGGATTTACATGGTTAATGCAAGGAGTGATGTTCACAGATGATTTCTTGGTGCTTCCTATAGGTAGTTATGATGTGGTGCTTGGAATTCAATGGTTGTGCAAGTTAGGGGATATCCAGGTTAACTTTGCAAAAACTGTGGATGCAATTCTTATACCAAGGGAAATCAGTCACTTTGCAAGGAGTCCATCCCTTATTCAAGACTGTGAATGTTAAGGCCCTCAATAAGATCTCAGTTAACACTGCTCAAATATTCATGATCAAAGTCTGCCCAGGAAGAATTACTGAGGAAGAACCAGCCAAAGAGCAGGAAGAGGCACCAATTGAGATACAAGTGTTACTTGAAGGGTATAGAGAACTGTTTACTGAACCAAAACAACTACCTCATTCAAGAGGAGAATTTGATCATCATATTCCATTGGTGGAAGGCAGTCTACCAGTGAACTCAAGACCCTACAGGTACTCCCCTATTCAAAAGAATGTGATTGAGAAAATGATACAAGAAATGTTAGGCCAAGGTATAATTCAATACAACTCTAGTTCTTATGCATCCCATATAGTTCTAGTAAGCAAAAAATATGGTTCTTGGAGGCTATGTGTGGATTACAAGGCATTGAACAAAGTGACTGTGAAGGACAAGTTTCCTATACCCATCATTGAGGAGTTGTTGGATGAGTTGGGAGGCTCACAAGTCTATTCTAAAATAGACTTAAGAGCTGGTTATCATCAAATCGGGATGACACCTGTAGACATACAAAAAACAGCTTTCAGAGTTCACTTTTGGCATTATGAATATCTAGTTATGCCCTTTGGCTTAACTAATGCCCCATCAAGTTTTCAAGGGCTGATGAACCATATATTCAAGGCCTACTTGAGTAAATTTATTCTGGTCTTTTTTGATGATATTTTGGTGTTCAGCAAAAGCTTGAAAGATCATGTTCAATATCTCAGGATCACCTTTGATTTTATAGTTCAACACTAGCTCTTTGCCAAAGAAAGTAAGTGTGTTTTTGCCGCTGGCAGGATTGAGTACTTAGGCCACTATATCTCTACTGAATGTGTAGCCACTGACCCTAAGAAAATAGAAGCCATACAGGCATGGCCTGAACCTGCTAACCTTAAATAACTAAGAGGGTTCTTAGGTGTAGCATGATATTATAGAAGATTCATCAAGGGCTATGGGGTTATGAGAAAGCCCCTCACTGATCTATTAAAAAAGGATAACTTATAGTGGTCCTACAAGGCAACTGAAGCCTTTAACAAACTGAAGGAAGCCTTGACTTCTGCACCAGTACTAGTCCTGCCTAATTTTTTTTATGCCCTTTGTGGTAGAGACTGATGCATGTAGCATGGGAATATGGGTTGTTCTGATGCAAAAGGGATAACCAATTGCTTATTTAAGCAAAGGTTTGTCTCCTCAACATCAAGCATTATCTGTTTATGACAAGGAGCTTTTAGCATTGGTGATGGCAGTGAATAAGTGGGCTCAGTACTTGACTGGCAGACCCTTTACAGTGAAAACAAATCAAAAGGCTTTAAAGTTCCTTCTTGAGCAAAAGCTGCACACATGATCTCAACTTAAATGGATAACCAAACTCATGCAATATAATTTTATTATTGAATACAAGAAGGGGAAGGAGAATAAGGTAGCAGATGCCTTATCTAGACTACCCTTGGTAGAACTGGCTGCTTTAACATTATCCACTATCAAAACTGATTTGTTAAGTTACACTATGCAAAGCTGGACCTTGGATACCGAACTCACTAGTCTCATTAATGATCTTAAGCAAGGAGGTGTTGAAATCAATGGGTATTCCTTTATGCATGAGCAACTCAGAAGGAATGGGAAGCTAGTTGTTGGACCTGATGAACAGCTGAGGAAAGACATTGTATAATTGTGGCACAACACTCCTAGTGGAGGACACTCTGGAATGGACCATACTTACAGGAGACTAGCTGCCTTTTTTTAATTTATTGGAAGAGGCTGAAGAAGGATGTCCAAGCTCATGTCAAGCAATGTGATACTTGCCAGAGAAGCAAGTATGAAACCCTCCTTATCCAGGACTGCATCAACCTCTCAAACTACCTTCACTAGCTTGGAGCAGCATTAGTATGGAGTTCATTGAGGGT